CCAGCTTTCCCTCCCTCCCTTTCCTCTCCCCTTTGACGTGCACAGTTTCTTACCCACCTGTCAACTCTCACTGCCCGGCTACGCGATGCTGTGGCGGTTGAGGCGGCCGTTGGTGGCGGTTGAGGCGGCCGTTGGCGGTGCTGGACTCGGGCCTTCTTCTGCTAGCTTCCAGGCTAACTGCGCAGAGTGTTAGCTAGCAGGGTGGGAAAGAGCCCGCTAGGTGGCCAAAAAAAATTTGAAAAAACCCCCCGGGGGGGGGGGGGGGGGGGGTTTGGGGGGAGTCGTCGGATATGAATGAAACTTGTCAGAGGCCGTTGACATGAAACGTGAGAACGACGCCCCCAGAACTGACAAAAAAAAAGATGGACTCCCCCGACCAGCACCGCAAGCTAGTTAGCAAGTGAGCTAGCTAAGAGTTAGCTAGGTGGCTAGCTAGGAGTTAGCTAGGTGGCTAACTAGCTAGCTTGCCGATCAACTTTTCGATAAAAGTGGCGCCTGGAAATCTCTCGGGAGGCTAATTCCTCGCGGTTAGGAGCAGGCTCTGCGGGAAGGGGGGTCGAAAAACGAGCAAACTGCCCCCGAAATCAAGGAACGGACGTCCGAAAGCTTCCAATCGACCACACACTCGTTAGCGCTAAAGATGAGATTGAGGGGATTTTGGAATGGAGAAGTCGGCGTTTCCTTTCCCTTTCGTGAGCACCACAAAGATCGTGTATGCTGTCAGGGACTGATCACCCGGCAGGGCTCCCCACACAAGCCTCTGACCACATAAAACACACACTATTATTGTTATTCTATTACATATCAACAATAATAATAAAACAGAATATCTCAAAATGTAAAAAAAAATACTTTGGAATCACAACAAAAAACACAATACCTGCAAGAAGAAGCAGGATCATTTCTTTAATCTGGGCGCATTTCTTTATCTGTGGAGTTTTGCAAAGTTATTTAGTTATCAGATCCACTGTTGGGAGTCAGACCATGAGCCGGGAATGAGGAAAAACCCAGCAGCTGCTGTAAATAACTCTAAATATGAATTTATTAACCTATTTCTGCAACATGAAAAACCAACTATTGTATAATTTACTTTTATAGAGGTAGTGTTCAGTTTTAATATGAAATACACCTCAGTTAAGAGTGGAAAGAATACCGAAATTTGATCAGTAAATTATCCAAAGGGACACAATTTCTGGATATTACAATGAATTCTGTGAAAGTTCAGTTTAGGAATTACCAGAGGAAGAAGCATTTCGGCTCAAAAGGAGGCTCGAACCACACAGAGGTTAAATATGGATGTTTGTAAGATCAAAGTGTCCTTTTTTTTTATCAGAACTTCATAAAAAGTAGCCACAAATCTGCTGTAATTTAATGCCAACAGGTACTTTTTAAAGCTCTACATGGTTATTTGTCCATTTCCAGGACTTATTTATCAGCGGTTGGCAGCGCCCCATGTAGGTTTTTAAGAATTTAAAGGAGAAGAATCAAGTTTTAATAGGAGAGAATTGCTATTTTTAAAAGGTTATAAAACTGGATAATCCAGTTCTTCAAATCCTGTGTAGAAGTAAACAATTTGATGTCTGCTGTTGATTTATCTGTGTTTGTTTTTCTCCTCTAAATCCTGAACTGACTCTTCAAGACTAAGTCCAATACTTTATATCCATAAGAGATTAATAAAATCATAACATAAACATAGATTTAATGAATACAGCAAGGTATGGTAGTAATAGAAAAATACTTTTTAATCCTATGTCAATGTCAAGGAAATTAAAATGTTCATGTTGATAAAGATAAAGATTTTGTTAGAGAAATATATGAAAGCAAATTAGATTAGATTGTTAAAGCATCCTGGTTTAAGAAACAAAGGCCCTCCTGAATCTCTCAGTGTCGTATTTGTATGTATTTTGAAGTACAGTTACTGCTTTCTTTTAATAACTTATCCAAATAAAATCATCCTTATCTCTGTCTCTGTCTCTACACTTGTAGTCCAAACAAAACAAACCCTAATAAAAATGAAACGCCTCTGTGGAACTGTGTTGACAGGAGGGCATTTCTGACAAGATGGCGCTGACGTGATGACGTAAAACACGTCATGACGTAGCCAAACGTCCCCGGAGGTAAACACGGGTTTCTCCCCGGGAGAAGGAGTGAGACCTCTCCGTTTTTTAGCCCCTCTCCGGTGCAGCACCGGGCCCGGAGCTGTCACACCGAGGCCGGCCTCCGCCCCTCCAGCTCCCGCCCTCCTCACTTCCGCCATTACTCTCCCAGCGGGTCGCTCTGATTGGTCGAGAGGGGTTTAGAGGCTGCGTGTGACGTCACTCGAATACATGTGTGGCCGGACTCCCCCCTTCCCGCCTTCTGATTGGCTTGTTTCTTTAGGCCCTTTACCGATCAAAACACAACTTTAAAAAATACTTTTTAACAAAAAAAAATGTATTGTGAACATTTTATGCGGTCATTTTGAAACAGATATTCAAAAGGGACAGATTTTTGGAAGGGCCGTTTTGTGAAGGGCCAAAAAACGGCTTTAAAACGAGGCCCACGGCGTTTAAACCGGACTGAAATCATCTATAAAGTCATTCTGTGTGTAAAACTGAGTAAATCTGTTTATATGTGACATAATTTCTTACACAGGTTTTATTAAACCACAGATTAGAGGTCTAAAATGTCATATTTACACTCTGCAATTGATCCGTGAACTCATCTTAAACATCCCTCAGTGCCTTTTAAAAAACAGAATGAAGCTTTCTCAAATTTCAAACAAGATTTGAACGAATGTGAACAATCTAAAGAATATTTCTGGTGCGAATTGACATCTGTAATTAACTTCTTCTTTGCTAAGTTGTCTGTTCAGTGTGACACAACACTGGCTCATCCCTTGAGTTGGGGTTATTTTTTGTCAGCCTGAATGATTCATAGTCAAGAGTTTGGTTTCTGAATGGATAAAAATATAAGTGAAGATGAGGAGAAAATAAAAAAATGTCCAAAGAAAATTTCCAGTACAGTAGTCTCCAGATTTTCCACAGTTTCTTGTAGTAACTTCCGTGACCAGGCATGTAAACGTTTCATAGGCATTTTAGATGGAAATCACAAGGAATTTTGTGAAATGACCTCTTATAAATGAGCAGAAGAAAAATAATTTGAGCTCAGAAAGGAGCCACAGAGCACATTGGGGTTAAATCTGGATGTTTGTGACCTTAAAGTGTTTCATTTAAAGTCAGTAATCGGCCAAAAGTATCTGTATTTTCACAAATCTGCTGTTGTTATTTAGGTTAGAAGAGTTTGAAGGAACACAAACATTTTCTAGAGAGAGAAATGCATCCAGAGGCTGAACATATTCTGAAATTAAAACTTGAATATCATAACTCAATTGGGTGAGTAATATTATTTGATTGTTTATTTAGGGTGAGCAATTAAGTAATTAAGTAAATTAAGTAAAGTAAGTAAAGTAAAGTAATTAAGTAAAAGAGCAATTAAGTAAAAGAAAATAGTTTAAACATCTAAATGAATATCTAAAAACTTGACCAAACAGAGCTCTAATTGAGCATTTTAACTCATTTTAAGGCCCTTTTCCCACTTTTTATTTGAGCTGTTGTGTTCTCCTCCGGCCGCCAGGGGGCGATAACCAGAGAAGAACCGTTTCCGGTTCCGAGTCGTTTCCGGTTCCAGCGGAACTCCGAGCCTTCCCTTCCCCGTGTGCGGACCGTGGACCTCAACGTGTCCCGACAAGATGGCTCTTTACAATTTTAAGAAGATTATGGTGGTTCCCACCGCAAAGGTAGGTTTCCTTCCGGGTTTCCGGGGAGATTCACGCCGTTTTGGAGCCCCTCGGGGCGGCCATAGCTCCGGGAGGCCGGGGGCTGGAAACACGCGTGTCAGGGGGGAAAACACGTGCTTTACGGCCCCGGACAAACAACTGAGCCTTTTGGGGGTTTAAGTGGAGAAAAACAAGGGGAAATGAAGTTATTTTATCTCCACCGGAAGCTGTTGTGGTCCACGAGTCGTGTCATAAATCGTTGTTGATAAACAGGTCTGAGTTAAAGTTCCGTCTTAAAGGGCCCAAAAACGGCTTCAAAACGAGACCCACGTCGTTTAAACCGGTCCAATCTGGACTGAAATCATCTATAAAGTCACTCTGTGTGTAAAACTGAAAATCTGTTTATATGTGACATCATTTCATACACAGGTCTTATTAAACCGTAGATTAGAGGTCTAAAATTCCAATTTACACTCTGTAATTGGTCCGTGAACTCATCTTAAACATCCCTCAGTGTATTTAAAAAAAACAGAATGAAGCTTTCTCAAATTTCAAACAAGATTTGAACGAATCTGAACAATTTAATTCAATTCAATTCAATTTTATTTATATAGCGCCACATCACAACAACAGTTGTCTCACAGCGCTTTCCAAACAGAGCAGGTCAGACCCTACTCTGAAGTTAACTACAGAAACCCAACAATTCCCACCATGAGCATTAGAGAATATCTTAGGTGTGAATTGACATCTGTAATTAATTGGTTTAAATAAGAAACATTTTGTTGTTTCAGGAGAAAATAACATCAGAAAATATTGATTTGTCTGCATTTTCCTACGTAGAATATAGGGTTAATTTAGGGAAATAGTGTGTTTTTAAAATATGCCGTGACCTTTTTGGGCATAAGAGCATCAACAGTGTCAGATTTCTTCCTTTTTAAACCCTTAAAACGGGTCACAAGTCTCAGAAAATCAGCGTTCTCTGCGCTTTGTCGTCCCCCTCTGCAGGAGTTCATCGACATCACGCTGTCAAAGACCCAGAGGAAAACGCCCACCGTGGTGCACAAGCACTACCAGATCCACCGCATCCGCCACTTCTACATGAGGAAGGTGAAGTTCACCCAGCAGAACTACCACGACCGGCTCACGCAGATCCTCACCGACTTCCCCAAACTGGACGTAAGTCGGGGCCTCGCCCCCCTCCCTTTGTTTTTCCCTCTGGAACAAAGATCAGAGGCACACCAGAGGTTCAGCCACTCGATTTTAACGTCCGTCTGCATTCATGAAAAACAAAGTCAATGAGACCAGGGCTTCCTTTTATTGACTGGAACTAAAATTCAACCCAAAAAAGAAATACAAATTCAAGACCTTTCATGAGAGGGGCGTGCTGGTGTGGTGGTTAGCCTCCCAGCAAGAAAGTTCTGGGTTTTAGTCCCAGGGGGGAACCAGGACCAGAGGGTTCTGGGTTGGAGTCCCTAGGAGAACCAGGACCAGAGGGTTCTGGGTTGGAGTCCCGGGGGAACCAGGACCTTTCTGGGTGGTTCTGCATGTTCTCCTGTGTCTGTGGGTTCTCTCCGGGTTCTCCGGCTTCCTCCCACCGTCCAAAAACCTGCATGTTAGGTTGTTGGACTCCAAACTGCCCTTAGTGTGAGTGTGTGTGGTTGTGGGTCCTTGTGTGTCTCTGTGTGTCCCTGTGATGGACTGGGGACCGACCAGGGTGTACCCCGCCTCTCCCCATTGGCTACTGGGATAGGCTCCGCCCCCCCGACCCCATTAGGGAAGAAGAAGTTATGATAATGGATGGATGGACCTTTCATGACGCACTATTTACTATTTATAACACGTTTACATCATGTTCAGTCGTTACTTTTTCAGCGAATTATGTCATTTTATTTCTATACACTCATATTCAAATGATAATTTGTAATTACTGTAGCTACGGCAAGCGCCAGGGCCCAAAAAGCACAAACGGAAAAAAGCAGTTAACTCATTGGCTGCCAAAGGCGTCTATAGACGTCTTTTATGTTTTTCAACGAGAGTGGCTGGGGGACGATCTGCTAAAGCTTGTCCGTAAATATCGGCTTCTAGACAGAGTATGTAGTAACAAATTGACCCTCTTGAAAAATCAGTCAAAATGCTTAAAAAAAACTCTGGCAGTATGGGACTCTGTTCTGAAAATGGCTGCCAGTCGATGAGTTAAGAAGGCCCACGGTCGACTAAGTGATGCGTTCGGTACAACATCTAACATAGTTTCAAACGCATAACATAAAAAAGAGGATAGAGATTTGGTTGAGAATTGACCCTCTACAGAAATGAGCCTGTATCTGAACTCCGTTAACCTCCCGGCAGGACATCCACCCGTTCTACGCCGACCTGATGAACGTGCTGTACGACAAAGACCACTACAAGCTGGCCCTGGGCCAGATCAACATCGCCAAGAACCTCATCGACAAGTGAGTCTGTTGGGTTTAGGGATGCAAATGATCGATGAATTCATTAATCATTAGTTGATTATCTTTTAATCGATCGACTTTCGA